GTGTCAGGCCTCTGAGCCTACGCTAAGCCATCATATCCCCAGTGACCTGCATGTGTACATCCAGATGGCCTGAAGCCACTGAAGATCCACAGAAGTGAAAACAGTCTTAACTGATGACATTCCAGCATTGTGATTTGTTCCTGCCCCACCCTACCTGGTTAATGTACTTTGTAATCTCCCCCACCCTTAAGAAGGTTCTTTGTAATTCTCTCCACCCTTGAGAATGTACTTTGTGAGATCCACACCCCTGCCCCCAAAACATTGCTCCTAACTCCACCGCCTATCCCAAAACCTGTAAGAACTAATGATAATCCCAGCACCCTTTGCTGACTCTTTTTGGACTCAGCTGTCCTGCACCCGGGTGAAGTAAACAGCCTTGTTGCTCACACAAAGCCTGTTTGGTGGTGTCTTCACACGGACACGCGTGACACAGGGTTCGAGCAATTTTCATGCCTAAACCTCCGGAGTAGCTGAGATTGCAGGCGAACGGCACCATGCCCAGGTTAATTTTTGTATTTTTGGCAGAGACGGGGGTTTCACTATGTTGGCCAGGCTGGTCTCAAACTCCTGTTTTCAGGTGATCTGTCCGCCTCCGCCTCTCAAAGTGCTGGGAATACAGGTGTGAGTTACCTTGCCTGGCCGGCGTTTTCTGGCTTTTTGTTTTTTTTTTTTTTGAGACAGAGTCTCACTCTGTCATCCAAGCTGAAGTGCAGGGGCGAGATCTCAGCAGCTCACTGTGTTAAACGTAAGTTTTCTGTGCTGCCAAAGAAGTACCACTCAAATGCAAACTTTCCTCAGCAAAGCAATTTGCTTCCATAGAAGAGGCCGTCTCATAGCTGGAGCAATGGCGAGCGTCTGGACAAGGGAGGGGAAGCGGTTCTTATTCCTGATGCAGGTAGCGCCTACTGCTGTGTGATTCCTCTACTGGCTAGGGTTAGAACGCACAGTCTAACCTCATGCCCACTGGCCTTAAAGAGAGCAGGAGTATGGGCCAGAGTGGCCAGGCTGTCTCTTATACACATCTAGATGTGTATAAGAGACAGGTCTAACCTCATGCCCACTGGCCTTAAAGAGAGCAGGAGTATGGGCCAGAGTGGCCAGGTGAGTGGTTTGGTGGGAAAACCGGTTATAGGACAAGTAACTAAAGGTGACTCAGGTCAAAGTAGGTGACCCGGCTGAGTTAGGATGGAGCAGGTGACCCGGGGAACAGACGGGAACTGTCAGTCCTCAGAGCCCATGCCTGCCTGTAGACATCCAGATGGCCTGAAGCAAGTGAAGAATCCCAAAAGAAGTGAAAATGGCCGGTTCCTGCCTTAACGGAGGACATTCCACCATTGTGATTTGTTCTTGCCCCACCTTAACGTCCTGGCTCCAAAGCTCCCGCACGGAGCACCTTGTGACCCCGCCCCTGCCTGCAAGAGAAAATCCCCCTTGTAGTTTTCCATCATCCACCCACATCCTAGAAAACCGCCCCACCCCATCTCCCTTCGCTGGCTCTCCTGGGACACAGCCCGCCTGCACCCAGGTGAAATATATCAGCTTTGTTGCTCACACAGAGCCTGTTTGGTGGGGCTTTTACTGGCCTGACTCCGTGCCTAGCCGGCTTTCTTTTTTTTGTGAGACGGAGTCTTGCTCTATTGCCCAGGCTGGAGTGCAGTGGTGAGATCTCGGCGGATCACTGTGTTATACGTAAATTTTCCGTGTCGCAAAACAAGTAGCACTGGAATGTACATTTTTCTCAGCTAGGAAATTTACTTCTATAGAAGGGGGCGTCTCATAGATGGAGCAATGGCGAGCATTTGGACAAGGGAGGGGAAGGTTCTTTTTCCTCACGCAGGTAGTACCTACTGCTGTGTGGTTCCCTTATTGGCCAGGGTTAGACCTCACAATCTAAATGCGATTGGCTTTTTTTTTTTTGAGATGGAGTCTTGCTGTGTCGCCCAGGCTGGAGTACAGTGGTGCGATCTTGGCTCACTGCAAGCTCTGCCTCCTGGGTTCATGCCATTCTTCTGCCTTAGCCTCCTGAGTAGTTGAGACTACAAGCGTATGCCATCGTGTCCGGCTAATTTTTGTGTTTTTGGTAGAAAGAGGTTTCACCACCTTGGCCAGGATGGTCTCGATCTCCTGACCTTGTGATCCACCTGCCTCGGCCTCCCACAGTGCTGGGATTACAGGCAAGAGCCACCGTGCCTGGCCTCAAGTGGTTCTTTAAAGTCTGATTCATTGTTTCTACTTTCCCTGATGAGGGTGGATGTCAAGGAGTGTGGTATTCTTATGTAATGTCTGATGTTTGGAATAGCACTTTTTTTTTTTTTTTCGGGCAGAGTCTCGCTCTGTCACCCATGCTGGAGTGTAGTGGCACCATCTTATCTCACTAACCTCTGCCTCCTGGGTTCAAACGATCCTCCTGCCTCAGCCTCCTGAGTAGCTAGGATACAGGTGCAGGCCGAGACGTTCGGCTAATTTTTTGTATTTTAGTAGATGGGGTTTCACCATGTTGCTCAGGCTGGTCTGAAACTCCTAAGCTCAGGTGATCCACCCACCTCGGCTTCCCAAGGTGCTGGGATTACAGGCATGAGCCGCCGCGCACAGCTTACGCTGATAACTTAGAGCAAACTTTACTTTTGTTGAGAACTTTGTAAGTTTGGGATTTTAATTATCCTTTGCTATTAATAAGACTTCATTCAGTCTAATACATATATATTTTTAATGTATAAGCCACGTCAAAGGCATACTTAGAATTGGTATAGATGGTTCCTTCCTGGTTCTCTAAGTATTTTAAGGCTTGGCTGAGTGCAAACAGCTCAATATGCTTAAGCAGACCAATTATTAGGAAACTTTCTTAGCTCTATTTTTTTTTTTTTTTTTTTTGAGACGGAGTCTCTCTCTGTCGCCCAGGCTGGAGTGCAGTGGCGCGATCTTGGCTCACTGTAAGCTCCACCTCCTGGGTTCTCTCTCTCTCTCTCTCTCTCTTTGAGATGGAGTCTTGTTCTGTCGCCCAGGCTGGAGGGCAGTGGCATAATCTTGGCTCACTGCAACCTCCATTCTTCTGCCTCAGCCTCCTTAATAGCTGGGACTACAGGACCTGCCACCGTGCCTGGCTAATTTTTTGTATTTTTCTTAGAGACAGGGTTTCACCGTGTTAGCCAGGATGGTCTCGATTTCCTGACCTCGTGATCCGCCCTCCTCGGCCTCCCAAAGTGCTGGGATTCCAGGCGTGAGCTGCCACGCTGGGCCTACTCTTGGCTTTTAAAAGAATGGGGCAAATTGCTTTTCTTTACTACTTCTATCCTTTCCTCTCTCTCTTTGACACTGTCTCTCTCTCACTTTCTCTGTTCCCTCTATCAGTGTTTCTCTTTCCTAAGATGTTTTTTTCCTGTCTCAGAATCTCTTCTATAGGCTTATTTTTCTAGTTCTCTTTCCTTTGTAATTTGTGGTTAATACCTGGCCAATTGTTAGTGACAAATTCCTTTCCCAAGAGGATCCTTGACACCTAAACCAGCATATTCTCTCATTCTTTTAATCTGTTCTTTTCTGTTTCTTTGAGACGGAGTCTCGCTCTGTCGCCCAGGCTGGAGTGCAGTGGCACGATCTCGGCTCATTGCAAACTCCGCCTCCCAGGTTCACGCCACCATCCTCCTGCCTCAGCCTCCCGAGTAGCGGGGATTACAAGCGCCCGCCACCACGCCCGGCTGATTTTTTGTATTTTCAGTAGAGATGGGGTTTCACCGTGTTAGCCAGGATGGTCTCTATCTCTTGACCTTGTGATCCGCCCGCCTTGGCCTTCCAAAGTGCTGCGATTACGGGTGTGAGCCACCACACCTGGCCACACATGTTTATGGTAAAATTTTGTGATGGGAAAACTGTCATCCCAGAAAATTTTGAGACCTGATGCTTAGGCCTCAGCAGCTCGGAAAATACGTACTTCTGTCCCAGAACACCCAAACGTCAACCTGTCATTCTCCACCAGGAACAAAATGTAACTGGGGACGTTGTCGTACGCTTGCCCTCGTCACCCTGGGCGTGTTGGCTGGTATCCGATTCTTATGGATTCCCGTTCTTACCTGCACGTGCCTGGTAGCAGATCAATGACAATAGCCATTGGAAGCTTAGGAAAAGCGTTTGTAATGTGAAAAAATAGAGGACCCTTTAGCCATCACGTGACTTTCTGTTGAATTGGGAAATATCCTCCTACCATCCACGTGGGACGGCCTTCCCGATGTGACCCTCCAAGACCATCCCTGGGGGATAAAACCCCACAAATGCATCAGCCCGTGTGCTGGGGACGGGGCATCGTCACGCCAGGTGTGACTGGGAAGGAGGATGGTGAGGCAGTGTAGGGAAAAGAAAGATCAGACTGTCACTGTGTCTATATAGAAAGGAGTAGACATAAGAGACTCCACTTTCTTCTGCATTTGAGATGCTGTTAATCTGTGACCCTATCCCCAACCTTGTCCTTGCAAGAGACATGTGCTGTGGTGACTCAAGGTTTAAAGGATTTTGGGCTGTGTAGGGTGTGCTTTGTTAAACAAGTGCCTCAAGGCAGTATTCTTGTGAAAAGTCATCACCATTTTCTTAATCTCAAGTGTACATGTCCCTGGGTACTTGAGATTCAGAAAAACATGTACACTGCCAAAGGTCGCAGGGACCTCTGCCTAGGAAAGCTAGGTATTGTCCTGTTGGAACCGAACTCTCGATTCCCTCCTGGGCAGGGGTCGCCGCGAAGGATCACCGACACGAGGTTCACAGCAGAGAGTTATTTATTGCTAGCGCGCTAGGGTCCCAAGCTCTAAGTTGGCCCTGGGACCCCGACTACTTGTTACAGGCTGTTTATATAGGCAAACACAAGTTCAAACACAGCTTATGGTGTGAAATTCAAACAAAGCTTAAGGCGTAAAATGATTGGGTCTAGCTATAGCCTGAGCAAGGGGTCTTGGTTTAATTGGTTAGAGCAGGACCTTATGAGGTTCTTTCCTGGAGTTGTTGATTCCGGGAACTTCGAGGCAGGGTGAGACCCCTGGAATTGGCAGGGTGGGACCTCATGAGGTTGTTTCCCGGAATTGGCAGGGTGGGACCCTATCAGGGTGGGACCCTATCGAGGCAGGGTGGGACCCTATCGAGGGCCACCTGGTGCTAACTTTTTAGGTTTTGTGAGGCCTAGTTTCA